TGCTTCTCGTTTCTAGGGAGGCAACACGTCTGCTGCTTTTTCCCTTCTGTTCAAAGCCCTCTGACCACCTGAGAAATATGTGAGCCCTGTAATAGTTTGTGGTCAAGTCATTCCAGAGAGAAGGGTAAGCGGAAGGTACGGGTTTGCAATCTGTAGATGCCTGTCTGTTGATTAGATATAACTGTGTTTTTATTTCTGTCTCTTCTAGATTAGAGGATATAAAAGCAGTCACCTGTCAACCCAATCCAGCAATGAAATTCAGCAGCCTATTGTCCCAATCACTGCTTTCAATCACTCTAAACGGTCTCCAGAGACAATCATTATTATAGGACATGTTCCTAAGAGTAGATAAATGGAGCTCAACCTGCCAGCCTGCATAGGGAAAGATGGACAGTCTTGGCCAAAAATATGAAAGGGCCTGGAGCTTTATTGACATTTACATCAAAAATAGTTAGCAATGAAAGCAGCTGTTGTGGAGAGCTTTCACCACAACGTGTTTGGAATATGCTGTGAATTGAAATACAGACCTCCTGACAAGCAATTTACCTTCTGTCATTCTCCATGTGCTTGCAGCATTACTGGGTACTTGCTGTGATAGCCCACTTAAAGCTGCACATGTGTACAGTTTGGATGAAAGATTAACTGCAATTTGAGGCAGGAAGTAACGAATTGTGGAGTGTCATTCATAATGGCCGACATTGTCATCTGCAGGGTGACACCACAGCAAGAAGGTGCCTCCGTTGTGACGAGCTTATAGATTCAGATGTCATTCATCCTAATGAAGATCTGCCTACAGTTCTAATAAGCAGAATGTGAGACAGCTCAGGATTATAAGCATTAATCTGCCTTGTTTGTTGACATTAACATGATGACTAAAATGCCATTATGCAAGAAATTCTTTCGAAAGCTATTAAAAAGGGGCAATCTTAATATGAGTATTACAGCCCAGAACAAAAGATGTGCCAGGAGTTAATTTCCATGTTTACTCTTGTCATTTTCTACACTGTATTGATTTTTTTTCTCCTCCAAATAACTGATACTGTGCAAAAAGTGTTTGATATTTCATGAATACACCACTACTTACTGTGACCAAAATACAACCCACATACTATTTTCCCCTGGCACAAAAGGTAAACCTTTTAACCTGAAAACAGGTTATGTTAATAGAAATATCAATATGATTAATATTTAGCAGATATCTTGTGAGAACATCAGACTTGAATCATGCCAAGCACACTTAAAAGAAGACTTATGATAACATTTAATGAAAATAATTGACCTAATATGTAAATAGATTGGATTTTCTTTTCAGCCACACAAATAAGCCATTTTCAAGCTGATGTGATGCTCTTGACTGTGGGGGTCAATGGAGAACTGCCAAGGCTGATTTTTCCAAAGACATCAAGACTCTTATAAGTCATTATCAACTGGAATTGAAATAAATCTGTGTGTAAATCTCTGTTTAAAGAGGGCTAGAAGGAGGATATTAAGGATTTTGATCTTCATCCCTACAGAAGTGGATGACATATATAAAAATGGATTTGTGTGCCTGTCTTTGCAACTGAGCTTAAATATCATTTGCGTTCTGAAAACTGTATTCACTAACAAAATCCAGGCTGTAGTGGAAAATACTCAGATATGGGATAAGTAAGCTATTTTCATTCTGGAGACCCATAAGAGATTAGAAGAGTCAGGGACAGATTTTAAAGGACCATGATGCAGACAGGAGATCTCTACAGTTCGAGATATTTTGGGGTTTTTTTTTTCTTTTTTTTTTAATACCTAGTTCTTATAACTAAAGTGAAAACTCTTAATTCTTAATTCACTTTAGATATATTTCAATGTATCATAGATATTTTTGTTGTTTGGACGGCGACAAAATTAGACTCAGTTTTAAGAGATTTGGATTGGGAGTAGGTCAGTAGATATTCTGAAAAGGCTTAACCAAATTTAGTGGAAGCTGTTATCTTTGTAATGTGTCAGGGGAGAACAAAGTGAGGGATTTATTCTGACATTTGTTTGCCTATACATCAATAGTTGCAGGTTGAAGTAATTTAAAAGCAAGGAGAATCTGAATGACGTGGTAGATATGCACTGCCTCTTCTTAGCCTTTTATATCTCTGCACAATGAAAAACCTTAAATACTCCTTTCTATCAGAGTCCATAAAGAAAAGAGGAGGAAGTAAATCCCATGTGAGGGACTATTGCAGGCTGCTGCTAATGACAGCCAGGATGTGGGACCCTGACTGTAATTCTGTGAGCTAGTGACTGAAAACTACATGCGATGGTAAAATTGGATGTTGATTTTCATTCTCAGGATGATTTTTTTCTAACTACTGAGCCATATACCCTTACAAAGGTCCTTTTGCTACACATCTACACATAAGCACTTCTGATAGAAGTTGAAATTGACAAATTGTACATTTGTTCCATGGGATATCCAGCTGGGCATGTTGCCAATTTACATTAGCTTTACATTTTTTGGCCTACAGGCCAAGCCCACTGTTGCATCTAAAATTCATAGTGGTGAAAACGTAGTGGCAGACCTTCAGTCTGAGAAGTCAGCAGATTACACATGTGGTAGTTGGGGTGAGTTAAGTGGCTTGAAGTGAGGTTTAAAAAGGACACTGCATGAAGTAGAGGATTGCTGAAAGTCAGCAGGGGCATGGCACAAGATTTTAAAAGCAGACAGATGCTAGAATACCACTGAGAGGAGTGATAAATATCAGGTTATGGAAACCTCACGAAAAGCAGGGATTTGGTCTCCCTTTAATCAACTAATCAACTATGCAGAGCACAGGTTTGCTGAGTGGCAGCACCTGGAGAAGCTAGTAGGTGGGACACCCAGTTTCATTTCCTCTGTTCAGTAGGTCCCTAAATCCACCCAAAGCCTCTTGGTGGGGCAGGATTCAAGGGAGAATGGTTTTAAACTGAGACAGGGGAGATATAGGTTGGATATTAGGAGGAAGTTTTTTCAATCAGAGGGTGGTGATGCACTGGAACAGGTTGCCCAAGGAGGTTGCGGATGCCCCATCCCTGGAGCCACTCAAGCTCAGGCTGGATGTGATTCTGGGCAGCCTGGTCTGGTGGTTGGCGACCCTGTGGCAGGAAATTGAAAGATGATTGATAGATGGTCTCTATGGTCCTTTTCAACACACGCCATTCCATGATTCTATGATTGCATTATTTTTTTGTTGTGGACTGCAATTCCCTGTGACTGCATAGGTCTTTTCGTAGCAGATGAGAGCAGCACTTCAGAAGAGAGGGTTGTGCTGAGTACTTTGACCTGCTCTAACTGTGCTAGCAGTGGGACAGTGAGAAAAGCCTGGATGAGGAGGGAGGTAAGTGCCACATATGTGGTCTACGCTCTGAGGTTATGAAACACAAGTCTGTACACTCGCAGAGGCTGCTGCTGGTTGTCTTCTTCCCTCCACGCATGAGTCCCCTGTGCAGTCCCCACTGACTGGTTGAGCTAGGTGGGACTTCTCATTCAGCTAGTGCTAATTCCCAGATGTATTCCTGTCTAGAGGTAGGCTCAATCCCAAGAGGAATGTACCACAAAGAGCAGCTGCTGCCTGCTCATCCTACCCCCTATGCCAGCTGCACATCTCCAGAGCACCAGATGCACATGGGAGTTTTCATTTTCCTGTCCTATTTGAACAAAGCTATTATTCATTTTTTATTCCTATATCAGCTAGATGTGGAGACCATACAATTGAAATTTCAAGCCCTTCTGGGACCTGAGGGAATATTCCTCTTGCAAAACTCTGTGCTCCTTTATGGTCACGTGTCACTTAGAAAGTGTCCTGGAGGTAAAAGTAAAAAGCCAGTTGTAAGAAAGAGTATTTGTAGACTTCCTCGAAGCTGCTTCAATTACATGGCCCTGAGCATCATTCCAGCCTACAGACATCCTGCTTAAGCTGCATCTGAATGAGAGGGAATAGCTTCAAAATGCACCAGTGGAGGTTCAGGCTGAATATTTGGAAAAATTTCTTCTTAGAAAGAGTGGTAATGAATTAGAACAGTCTGCCCAGGAAGACAGTGGAGTCACCATTCCTTGAGGGGTTCAAGAACTGTGGAGATGTGGCACTGAGGGATGGGAATTAGTGGGCATGGTGAGAATGAGTTGATGGTTGGACTAGGTGATCTTAGAGATCTTTTCCAACGTTAACGATTCTATGATTCTAAACAGATGTATGGTTGCATGCATATAGCAGGGCCCAGATCTCTCTGATTAGGGCAGGTGTTTGGCAGCATACTGTGTCTTTTGCCCAATGTCTGCACACAGGAAGCCTTTCTATGTGAAGAAAAAAGAAGTTCTGGGATGGTGAAGTAAAGAAGGCAAAAACCCCACATTTCACCCACTCAGAGCCAGCATGTTCCTGGAAACTGCCTGAGTGCCACAGCATAGACAGAGCCCTGCTAATTGCAGGCCAGATCTGGGGTTCTGCCTACAACGCTCGTTCTAATAGCAGAGTCAATTAAAACCCAACAAGTTAATGTGATTTAGATTCAGTGAGAATTGTCCCAGAAGATTCAAAAGCTACCTCGGTGAATATTTTTGGGATAAAAAAAAATGTTAGACTATTGTTTGGACTTTATTTATAGCAAATCTGTAATCAAAAATTCTTCTGAAGTGGATATCTACTTAATGTTTGTTTGTTTGTTTGCATCCATGGAAAAAAGTGAATAATTCCAACACAAAACAAAACAAGCTGAGATTGGAACAAAATGATTCTTTGCTGGGAAGAGCTTTTGCTTGTAACATATTTTTATTTTCTAATAGAATCTATCTGTTGAGAGTTGTCCAAAAACTCTAACCTCAGAGGGTGTAGTCTGCAGGAAAAGGGGTTCTTAACAGGTTTTAATCATGGGAGTGAAAACATAGATAATTAATGAGAGATTTCTAGAAATGCAAGCTAATTTACAACTAACTGTGGATTTTGGTGGCATCCATTCTTTCACTGATCAGCCTAACTGAAGCAAAGTTAACAGGTGAATAGTGTTGTAACTGATGATTTATTTCCATAGTTAGAATAGGAGTAGAACATTTCTGTAAGAAGGAGGAAAATGATAGCTAAAAGCATGAGGAGAATTAGAAGGAGAAATAAGTACCTAAGAGTGGAGAATTTATTAACATAAAAGCAGATTAAAAAACAAAGTATACGTTATTGATCAAACCCATAGTATTTTTAACTAAGAATTTCAGCTGTTTTGAGTTAATTCTCTGAATAAACACACCACATTCTCTAAACAAATTCTGATGCACAGTTTTCACAGAGCCCAACAAAATTTCCAGCAGATCACTAGTGTCTTTAATTAGACTTTGTGCTGGGAAGAAGCTGACAGTGACTTCAGGGGTCAAGATCCTATTTATTTTGCTGTCCTTGGCATGTATTTTGAGAGCATCTTTTCTAAAACAAAAATAGAATAGTAATGGGTCATTGAACTGCTGGGTAAACGTTTAGAAAACAGGAGTATCTGACTGCCTATGAAATTTAGATTTAAATCTAGGAGCAGACCAAAAAAACAAAAACAAAACAAAAAAACAAACAAACAAAAAAAAAAACCACATGATCCTGACTGGAAAAACATCAAAACTTACTGCATGGTAAAGGGAGAGGATTAAGGCAAGATCTTCAGATCTGTCAGAAATTCTGCAAGCATTTTTAGTCTCTACTCCGATTTTTTTTTTTCATATAAGTGAAAAGTATCGGCCTTAATAATGGAAGGGAAGATAAAATCAAAGACTTGAAAATTGTTTATTTTCCCATCAGTATTAGGAGGAGCAGCCAACTGAAAACATGGGGGGATATTTTTCTCTTTCTAGACTGGATCAACTTTCAGTTGAAAATATGCAAGCTTATTTCTAGCTCAGAAGCAGGACCTACTTTTGCCTTCTCTAACACTGTCATTAAACAGTAACACTATCTGGCAGCAACAAACAGCACAAAATAAGTGTAAGATTATCCAACAGCATACACAGCTGAGAACATTCAAAACCAGCTGGCAAATATTTGGAGTTCCTCCAGATTCTCATAGATGTCTTTCCTTATGGCAGACAAAGGTAACAAATGTACTAAGAAGGGCCAAAGATCTCTATTTTTCTCCCATCCCTTGCTTTAGCCATCAGATTGATTACTGCTAAGGAGACACGGACATTTTATTTCCTTAAATCTCATTAACTGTTGAATTTGAGGAAGAGACATGATAAAGTTTTTTTAAAAAATCATCATAAGCATAGCGTGTGATGGAAAAGAAACACTCTTCCTACATATCCAATTGCAAACTGATTACATTGAGTATACCTTTCCCTCCTTTTGCTTGAAGGGCAATGCAAAGTCACTGCTCCAAAATTCAAAGCCTTGACTTACTGCCACCAGAAAAAAGTCTGGACTCAGAAAAATCCAGAAAACAAGTCTTTAAGCAAAGGTCTTGTCTCTTTCATACAGCTGCTACAAGAGAACGAAAGACTTCAGGCAGGCATTGCTTAACACTAAAACCTTCTTGTCTGCCTAGTGGAAGATCTGTGCTTGATACATGTACATTGTTGTCCCTGTGCTTGCCATTCATTTAAAACTATCTATAGCTTGTAGCTGCAGCTCAAAACAGCAAATGGAAAAAAGGCTTGGCTGCCCTGAACACAGGAAACATGGGGCTCCACTTCCCTTCCACAGCACACTGGTACTGTTGCCACAACTGGCTGTTCTGCATGACACTGGTAAATGCATCACCCTTTGATATTACTGATGTACATCCTCAAATTGGAGGCATGCTGGTGAGCTAAGCACAGTTGCTTCTCCCAAACGTACAGTATTAGCCCTATGGTGGACAGCTTCCCTAGTTGTACTCAGTACCTAAATACTGACCTGTATAACACAGGGATCACACCCTCTGCGAAACACTAAGACTTCTTAGGTATTATGAGCCCCTGCTATTTATCCAGACAGTTTATTTTCTCTGTAAGTAGCTACAAATATAGAAAATTTTCTAGTTCTTATCAGTAGTGAGGTGTTGCCTATCAACACAGGTGAAAACTTTCAGCTCTTGATCTCACTGTTTTAAGGAGCAGAGATAAAATGTTCTGTAGTGAAGGAGGTCTTGCTTCTTTGAGCTGTTCTATGTGATGTGGCTGAGGGACCCTTGTGCAGTGTATCTATGTATTTTCTGTACACAAGTTGGAAATAAGATGCTGATTTTGGTGAAAGGTAAGCATGATTCTGCTTCTCTACTTGTGGAAGTACTTCTTAATGTGCATTTTTAGGACTCTAGGTGTGACCAGGAGCAAAAGCCCTGAAAGGGGTTGTATATTGTAAGATGAAGTCGCGTTGTTGCTTATTATTCATGGCATAGCAGAACTCAGGGTCCTGAGTAAGACGCGGGACCCCCTTGTGCAAACTTTCATTTAAACACTTGAGAACTTTATCCTATTTACCTGTTATGTAGCTCTTATCTTCTGTTTAGCCTCTTGCAACTTGTTTTTTTTTCCTCAGGGGCTTGTCATCTCCTGCTTTGTCTTGCTTCTAAAAATCAGGAGAGAAAGCAGAAAAAGTGGTTAATTCAATGGAATTTCAAGGTTTTATTTTGTGACTCAGTTACAAAGAAACCCCCCTACTAGGGAAAATTTTCTTCAGCATCTTCCTTTCTTGTGATAGGAATAGATTGAACAGAGAGTGGTTTTTGTTTCTTTTTAAAGAAAATTATGAATAAACAGTTCTTTTTGGCATTTCATTTGCTTGATTCCCTGATGATTTTGAAAGCACAGATTGCGAAAATTCTTCTTTAACCTAATTAATAACTTACTACTCTGTTTTGCAAACAGATCTCCATTCTGACCTTGTAGCTCGGCTGCCTCCATAGGCAAGGCAGCCCCATAAATCACCCTATGTCTGAATGAGGAACTGTGGGAGATAAAAATGTGCAAGAGAAGAGGAAGGGGGAGAGTTATAAAATTAGCTGAGGCGTCCAAACAGGTCTTTTTCAGGCTTTCCCTCCATCTTACAAACGCGTGGACTGAGGAAATGTTGGGTGGGATGCACCAGCCAGCTCCATGCACTGTAATGCTCATGAAATGCTGAGGCTTCACCAGTCTGAGTGTCCTCCTCTCCCTGATCTCCCCCAGCACAAGCCCCATTGCCTGTGTCCCCTCTGATCCTGAACAGCTGTTTCTCCTGAATCATCATGCAAAGCCTGTTCCAGTAATAAAAGGCTAATGAAAGTGAAAGGGGTATGGGACAGGATACTGGTTTCAAAATCTAAAACAAATTTCTGAGATAAGGGGAAGCTGTGGTCATTTAGCAAGCAAACCTTGGGCTAGGAAGGAATGTTCTAGGGAGAGCAAATCAATGAATAAATAAACAGATAAAGTGCCTATGTGGAGATCTAAAGTCAGCTGTGCCATAAAAACAGGAAGTCGTTAACTTATGAGGAGAAAGAGAGGTTTGTTTTCTGTGCTCGGAGCACCGTAGGCTTGCTGGAATGGAGCAGGATGTGTATTTAGGCTGAGTATTTCATTTCCACTCACGGGTGCCTTCTGCTCTGAGTGGGCTGGGACAGAGAGCTTGTGTGCCACGTAGGCTCTGATGGAGACAGGCAGAGACCTGGCTATACCTGAGCTAAATGCTGAGGTCATTTTAATTCCCCCTCTTGCTTCTTGTTTGTTGTCAATTAGCTTTTTTGAAGTGAAATAGTTTATCGTAATAGGTCTGCTTGTATAAACCACTGAGTCATCAGTCTGGAGGAATACAAAAAGAGGAGAAGGATCTGCATGTATTTCCCTTCAAATTCTAGCTCTCCTGCAAAATAAAGCACATTTCTGTGCTTATTTATTCACAAGAATAGCAAAGAACACTCACATTTTAAAGTGTATTGTGTTACAAGATCCTCCCAAAATATCTTTACTAATATTTGTAAGTGTTCCTGTGAAGAAAAGTTTATGTAACATGCTTAAATATTTATGGAATACTAAGAAAAGAGGCATTAATTGGCAAACAACTTAATTAAAATGCTTTCTTGAGTAATTAGGAGCAAATACTTTCCTATCTGCTTTGCATGCTATTTGTCTGGTTCTCTGTTTGATAAAGCCTGCCTGTCTGTCAAACTTTGCTGCAGGTAATTTTTTAGCTCTGTGGGGAAAATCTTCAAAAATTACATCTGAATTTAAAATATTGTGATTATCATTTTTGTTTAACAAATTCTCCTTTTTTACTTTGTCTTCTATATGTCCCAGTAAAGCAGCATCCTGGGAATTTAGGGCCTGAAGATGAAATTCTGCATCAAGGCATTACTGAGTTTCCAAAAACACTCTCCAGAGAACTAACTGAATCAATCTAGAATCAACAAACAGTGCAGTTAATTAATGAGTACACCATAAGGGAGCTTTTTTAAACAATGTTGACTGCTGCTGCCTCAGGACCAATAGCACCAGAAGTTATTGCTGGTTTCAAAGACGTGATTCTTAGGGTTCCCCCAAGGCACCTTTTGCTTACATTAGCTATTGACTACAACTTTTCCTCTTATTTGCACCCTAGGGAAAGTATACTTGTTTGCTAAATTACTTTTTAAGTGATGCTTCTTCATGCCAGTAGCCTGAGGTAGATCAGGGAAGATGCTATAGTGTAAATAGCAGAAAGTGCACTGCTTTACAGCAAAATGTGAGGAAAACCTTTGAGCATGACACCACCCAAGCACTGCTTCCAAGAAGACTGAACTGGGAGGGCTGGGGACCGGTGGCACTCACAGCCAGGTGCATGCCCCTGCTGGTGGGCACAACCCTGCTAGGCACCAGGCTGCCAGAGAGCCTGGCTCTGCATGTTGCTTTGCAGGTTCAGGACAGGTAGAGTTGGAAAAAGCAATGATAACAAGCCTCTATGAACCAGGGAAGCCGAATCAGTGAATCAGTCTTAGGAGGGGGATGCAGGATCTGGATACTGTAGCTATGGTCTGCATTTAAAACAAAAAACAAACAAACAAAAAAAAAACCTCACTGCTTGCTGCTGCTTTTTTTTTTTTTTTTTTTTTTTTTTTTTTTTAAGGTCGTGGTCTTATACAGTGACCGTGCAGGGACTATTTTTCTTGTGCAACTTCTAGAATTTCCCCTTTGGGCTGCTTTGCAGGAGGACAAAAAATTCCTAAATTAGGATGTCTGTGTTTATACCCTTCAGAAGATAAACAGAGTAGGCCATCATGTTCTTGCAAAATGAACTTTTCTTGTTACAGCTGTGAGCTAACAGTTTAAATTATTACTAAACAGGGTCCAGCTATCTCTGGGTTGAGTTAAAATTTTATCCTTATGTAACAGGAAATTCAGATGTTAGTTAAACTCCTGATATTCCTTTTTAAAGACTGCAGCTGATGTGACTCACGTGAGGGCAACACTTTGAACTCTTCTTTACTGCAATAGCATCCGTCATTCACCCAAGTTAAGGTGTCTCATAATTGAAAGTACAAAATATTGATCTAAATTTGATCAGCAACATTATATAACAGTAAGTCCAAGAGAGTGCAAGTAATGTGGTTAGAAATAATTGGTTGGTGTTATTGATTGGATCTTGCTAGAATGCATTTGCAATCTCTACGTGCTTTTAATAACATTATTTTCAACATTTATTTACAAATTACCATTACCATAAGTATTTCAGTGGGGAAATAGTGGGGAATAAGATTTCTGTTCCTGTTGCAGCATTTTCAATCAGATTTTTGCAGGACTAGCAAAAGTGTGATGAGCTGCAGGATAAGAGTGAAGCTGGAAAAAGAACTTTGTTTCTGGGGCACTGTCTCTACTAAGAGTTCAAGCCAAAGGATGAGAGAGGATCCTGCAAAATTTAGCCCCTGTTCCCAGAGCAGTGAGATCTGCTACCAGTAAGGCTAATGTTGCCTATGACCATGAAGTTGAACTCAGTCATTTAATGCTTTTATGTTTATGTCTAGTCTTCTTAATTTGCTGTGAATTTGAAGAGACTCTTTGCAGCACAGGCATGGTGACAGGGTGTGACACAGGCAGCCACTATCTGCAGGCAGGGAAAGCCCTCTTGCCACTGAGCCTGGTGCAGCTGGTATAAATTACATTCTCTGTATCAAATATAAACAAACCATTACACACTTGGCATTGATACACTGAATATTGTCTCAGGAGAAAAAATATATACATCATTTCTATATGGCTAGGATCTGGTTCAGCTTGTTCTTTGATGTATAATGAAAATCGGGCTTTGAGATATGTATCTGATTATGTTTACCTTATGCTGAGAATTTAGTCTGTCAAATACTGTTAACGTGTTCTTTGTATCTGTTGTAGTTTCTGTGGAAATAAATAGGAGCGTTACTTTTGGAGTGACCCAAAGCATTGGGTTTGAGTCTCCAATGTAGATGTGAAAGAATCCACATTCAATTATCAAATATCTCAAAATTCCTGCTAAGTCACTAGGTTTTGTGGCATCATCTGCTGTCCTGTCTAGCCTGTTTACAAGTCAGCAACACCACCTAGACATCTCCAGGTCCCCACAGTGAGCTTCATCTTTGATTTTTCTCAATGGGACATTGCCATCTCCTTTACAATCATGGCTGTGATGAGTTGTACCCAATACTCTGTGCTCTGCTTCTGTACTTCTGCCCTCCTGTGTTTTGTGGCCCATAATCATTGTAAAGTCTTGGAAGAGTATTTTATGTACAATTTGTCCAACTGATTCCAGCAGATTTGTAGTGCATCTGGCTCACTAAAGTTTCATGTCAGCTAATAGGGATGTTGCTTACCAGCAAACTGTCTACCTACATTCTACATAAGCAAGCAGATCTTGCTTATACCATCAACTCCAGAAGTAAAGGTCTGCTTTTTCATGATCATATGTAACTGTAAATGGAATGGAAAATTTATCTAATTTTCTTGAAGGAATAGGACTGGTGTGCTGTTATTAATCTGCTTGCATGTAGGGAGTGCGTCTGAGGCTTCTGGATATAGCTGAGTATACATACATGGCAAGGATGAATGGTAGCACTCTTTGGACTACTCTACCTCCAAAATAAAATCCACGAAAACTATGAAGCTTTACATGTCTTCATAGAGATTGTTTCAGACAGAAAAGGAAAAAACCTGTGGTTTTGATTCTGTAGGTCAAGCATCCAAAAGATATATATATTAAATATATATGATCCTTTATGAATTGCTAATGTTTCACAAAAAATTTTTGGAGTGACTAAAGACTTGGTTCTTAACTCAAACCAAATTCTAGGATCTCCACAGCTTCTTGGAAGTCTATAACTGTTTTCCTCTGAAGCCTGTGGTCGAGGTTTGAGGTTCAGCCTCAGGACTCCTATTGGCAGACTGGCAGTGCCACTCGAAGTGCTAGCTGGGCATTAGCTGATTCAGCTAGTTCAAATTCTTTGAAACTTTCCAAAAGAGTTGTCTTTGTGCAGCAGATTTTATGGCATATCAGGTACTGTCTATGCATGCAGCTGTAAGGGCTTGCTAAATCAGGCATTGCCTAGCTTATCTCTGCTAACTCAGAGCTATACATATGTACAGATAGAATGAGTCAGCATTCTAACTTATTGACAGAAAATTGTGAATCCACACCTCATCTGGATAAAATGCCTTCTAGTATATTAGCAGTTGACTCTTTCATGAAGGTGAATGGAATGAAGGACTGTGCAACACAGTCTCTGATCCATTCATGGTGAAGTTCATAAAAGAAACTTTTCTAATGCCAGTTATTCTGAACTAGCAGAAAATAACTTGTGGCTTCAGCTTTTAACTAATACCTTTCAGTTACGAATAACTGAATATCAATATTGACCTACAGACAGTCTGTAACTGGGCCCTAGAAAATTCCTGAGAAGCCTGAGCTGTCAAGCTTCATGATATTTCTGAAATGTGTCATTGTTCTCTGTTTTAGCAATGGGGATTTACAAAGCTGAATCAGCCAAAGAGCCTGGGACAGCTAACTTCCACACAGTCCTTTACTGTAACCACTTGGCAGATAAAGATTTCGGGTGATGTTCTTGCTGCCTGACTGTTTGCTTGTTTATTTATTTTCTTGTACAGCATCAAAATGCTTCAGCAGTATAGCTGTGAGAGTTTGAAATCCTGTTTGCAAGTCAAACTGTTTCAAAGTAGCCCTGAAGGGAAGGAAAACAAATATTCCCTTAACTTTCATTCTAATTATATCAGTCATTAAAACACAAGGAATA